GGAGTTTCACTCATGTTACCCAGGCTGGAGTGCAATGGCACGATCTCAGCTCACCGCAACCTCCGTCTCCTGGGTTCAGGCAATTCTCCTGCCTCAGCCTCCTGAGTAGCTGGGATTACAGGCACGCACTACCATGCCCAGCTAATTTTTTGTAGTTTTAGTAGAGACGGGGTTTCACCATGTTGACCAGGATGGTCTCGATCTCTTGACCTCGTGATCCACCCGCCTCGGCCTCCCAAAGTGCTGGGATTACAAGCTTGAGCCACCGCACCCGGCCGTGTTGTCTTCATATTCTTTGTCCAGTTTTCGATTGGGTTGTTCATCAATTGAGAGTGAAATTCTTGGATTTTGACTACATTAACTCTGGGGCCTAGAGATAAATGAACTCACTTCAGATACCTTAAAATAAAGTTTTACTCACCAGCTGAACAGTAGAATGGAGCTGAGAAATGGTCTCTTGGCTTTTTTGCTTAGCTTCTTTAACCCTGCTAAGAGCCTGCTGGTAGGCACGGGAGCGAAGCTTGGTAGACAGGGATCCCAGTCTAACATAATAACTTGGCTTCTGAACCATATCAAATCCTTCAACTTTTTTTGCTTCTTTTTCTGAAATTAGAAAGAAAAGACAAAAAATCTTAAGAGAACGGGTGCGATGGCTCATGCCTGTAATCCCAGCACTTTGGGAGGCCGAGATGGGCGGATCATAAGACCATCCTGGCCAATATGGTGAAACCCCATCTCTATTAAAAATACAAAAATTAGCTGGGCATGGTGGCGCGTATCTGTAATCCCAGCTATTTAGGAGGCTGAGGCAGGAGAATGGCTTGAACCTGGGAGGCAGAAGTTGTAGTGAGCCAAAAAAAAAAAAAAGAACTTAAGGGATCACAGGGATAAGTGATAAGGAGGTCTGGACTGTAACCTGGATCTTGACTTTCTTACTTTTACCCAATCACTTAGCAATCATGCAGTCATTTTTCCAAGATTGCTTATGTCTGCTGCTGGACTTGACTATCTTGAACATATTACTGTATCTGATACACGTTGCATGCATCTACACGTTTCTTCCACTAGAGTAAAACTACTTTTTGAGATGAAGTCTCACTCTGTCGCCTGGGCTAGAGGGCAGTGGCGCAATCTTGGCTCCCTGCAGCCTCAACCTACCAGGCTCAACTGATCCTCTCACCTCAGCCTCCCTAGTAGCTGCAACTACAGGCACAAGCCACCATGTTCAGCTAATTTCTGCATTTTCAGGGTTTCGCCATGTTGCCCTGGCTAATCTCAAACTCCTGAACTCAAGCGATCTGCCCATCTCAGTCTCCCAAAGTGCTGGGATTATAGGCATGCACCATTGCGCCTAGCATAGAGTGAACTTGAGCCACATGGTACCTGGCACACATTATCTAATGATGATTCTTTGTAGTAAGAATTTTATAAAACAATCCATTAAGGCCGGGCGCGGTGGCTCAAGCCTGTAATCCCAGCACTTTGGGAGGCCGAGGCGGGTGGATCACGAGGTCAAGAGATCGAGACCATCCTGGTCAACACGGTGAAACCCCGTCTCTACTAAAACTACAAAAAATCAGCTGGGCATGGCGGCGCGTGCCTGTAATCCCAGCTACTCAGGAGGCTGAGGCAGGAGAATTGCCTGAACCCAGGAGGCGGAGGTTGCGGTGAGCCGAGATCGCGCCATTGCACTCCAGAGCCTGGGTAACAAGAGCGAAACTCCGTCTCAAAAAAAAAAAAAAAAAAAAAAAAAAAAAAACAATCCATTAAAGATAATCCATTTACAAAAAATATTTTCCAAGGTCCATTTTTACTAAACTTTCAAAACTTACTATGTACAATTCAATGTGAAATTTATGATTGCTTTAGGAAGGAAAATCTACAGAGGCAAAAAGATTAGTGGTTGCCTTGGGAGGAAATAAGGATTGACTGCCAGGTGTGGTGGCTCGCATCTGTAATCCCAGCACTTTGGGAGGTCAAGGCAGGTGGATCACTTGAGCCCAGGAGTTTGAGATCAGCCTGGGCAACATAGTGAGACTGCATCTCTATATAATAAAAAATAAAATAAAAAGGATTGCAAACAAGCATGAGGGTCTTTTGGGGTAGCAGAAGTATTCTAAAACTGGATTGTGGTGATGGTTGCACAACTGTGTAAATTTAGACTAAAGACAAGAGTATATCTCAATGGAGCTCTTTAAAAAAGATTTATAAAATAGTATTTCAAGGGAAAATTCCAGTTACCTAGTTCTTCTTCAGTGAGTGGGAGATACTGCTCTACCAACAGCTCTGATTTGGTGAGTGCATTTTCCACGCCACTGCTCACAAGCTGCATCATCCGACTCCCCAAGACTGTGTTAATGCTGCCACTGACCACAGACTTGGTCTTCTCCACACTGCCAGTCACTGCCCCTTTGGTCTTGTCCATCACTCCTGTGATCGTGCTGGCCACGGAATCCTTGGCCCCAGTCACAGCTCCTTTGGCATTGGCAACAACCTAGAAGTAGAAAAGCAGGTCCCTTGGCTGGTGAGAAACATGAGCACGAGGACATACATAAGGTCTTCACTAAGGCAGCACAGCTGAAGAGTTAGAGAAAGCATCTAGTCCTCTCACTCTCTAGCTTTAGGTCTTGGGCAAGTCACTAACAGTTGACAAGCCTGATTTTCCCTATCAAATGCATTTGCCCTACCTGCCAATCCTTGGGAATTGTTGGAGGAGTAAATGAGGTAAACAGATATGAAATTTGTCAGTTTGTCAAGGCTGCAGTGAGCCATGATTGTGCCATTGCACTCAGCCAGGGTGACAGAGCAAGACCTTGTCTCAAAAAAAAAAAAAAAAAAAAAAA